ATTATTGTCCCCTGTATTTGTTTACAGTTCTTTTTGCTTAAATACGATGTATTATTATCATGACATAAAGTACCTTCATAGTTTATTAATTAATTATAACTTTCAACAATTGTAAATAGATAATTTATTATTTATTTGTTTTTCAGGGCAATGATACCAGAAAGAAAGAAAATTTCTGTATTTCGTATGGTTTTGATTTGATGCTTTTTTTATGTTATTCTTGTGTTGTAATAAAGTATTGATTTCTTTAAAAAAATAATTTAGTGGTTATTTTTCAATGTATTTTAAAATAAATTGTTAGGAAAAAAACTGAACGTTCCCATTTCCAAATAAAAACAAACTTTCAACCCTTTATTTACGAATTATTAATAAAAATATCAAAAATGTGTGACAGTTTGAAGAATAATTTCTTTTTCAAAAATCAATATTTTTAAATTTTTAAATTAATTATTAACACAATTTTAAAAGAATTAATGAGCAAAATACACTGTTAAAATTTATTTTAAGTATTATTAAAAAATTTAAAGTATTTTTTTTTATTATTTAACTATGGCATTAAAAGCGCAAATCACGTTATCTAAAATTTTAATTTATAGTATTTCGTAATCACCGCTCTTAATAGAGACTTTTAAAATTTGTGCATTACACATTATTGGTAGCAAAATGAAAGAAACTAAGACAGAATCGTAATCGGTTTCATAAACTGCGGAGTTGACCAGGAGGGAAAATATTAAAACCAGTTTAATTGCCTTATGAAGCTTAGAGATATTTAGTTAGAATCAAAATCAAAATAAATTAATTTAGATCAGAAAAAATCAAAAATACTCAAATTTTTTGCCGAACAAGTAATTTCTTTATCACACGCAGAAAAAATTTATGGTTGAATTACCGTCCTGCTTTTCAGGTAAGAAAAACCATAATTCTGGTTTAATAAAATTAAAGTATGTGGTATTTAAATCATTCACTTGGTAATTTTGCAGTTTATGTGGTAACGGTTGACTGGAAATTCAAAATTTCAAAATTATAATTCTCATTACGATACGGTTAGTAAAGCATATAAAGCTGAAAAGACTGAAACTGAATGCGATGCTCTAAGGCAGTGTTTCCCAAAGTGTGGTATGCGTACCGCAGTTTAGCGGGGGTACGCGTTTTTATGTGAAATATGCTGCAACAAACGAAAAGTTCAAAAAAAAGCTAGACATGAAAATTTACGATTACGTATTTTTCGATTGGCTATTTTTTGTAGAGTTGACAGTTAATAATTAGTGGAGTCAACTGTGGCTTTTAACTAGTGCAATTTTTTAGTAATTGCAATTTAATTAAGTGCAATTTTAGTAAGTGCAATTTTATAGTAAAGAAATACATTCATTTTCTTATTGGTGGTACACAGCGCTACGAGAAGTTTTGGAAGGGTACACGAAAGCCATATGAGTTTGGGAAACACTGCTCTAAGGTATCAAGATAAAATTATCAAATTTTTCGACACTTTCCAAATTTATCACATATTATAAATTCATATTTTATTGCTAATCTTAGCCAAAATTAGAAATACGCGTCGTTAATAATTACCGAGCTTTTTAGTGTTACTATAGAACTAGAAATACGGTAAATTTTACCATATTCTCTGGTAGTTTTGGTCACACTTTTTTCTCGTCTATTTATGAAAACAAACTACAAGTTTAATGACTTTTAAAAGCAATTGTATTTAAATAAACATAAAACTAAAGTAATAAAATTGAAGTATGTACATTAAATAGCATATTATTTTATGAAGAACTAATGAAAAGGGATAATTTAAATCCTAATTTAGTCTTTTTCTTATTTTTTAGTCACTAAATAATAATTTTCGTGAAATACTCTCTCATTATTACTTTGGATAAAATTTTTAATAACAATGAAATCTGACTTTGAAAATATCGCAACCTTAAAAAGATATTTTGAAATTATTATGAGCAAAAATAAAATAATCCCCGCAAATTAAGAGCTTTATTATAAAAAATTCACTTGATTTAAATCAATGATTTTCTTTCCAAAATATTGAGAGATTTAAAACTAATTTAAATCATGTCAACTCTGTTAAATATATAAAGGTATTTTAGAAAGCTAATCAAAAGTACTTTTGTAAAAAGTCAGTAATCCAATTTTTGAAATAATTTGTTTTGTATTAAAAGCAAACGGTTCTACAAATAAATAGCTAGTGTTAGAATCGTCCAACGCGATGAAAATTCAATACAATATTAAATTTGCATCATGACAGAAAATTAGCAACAATTTGAGTAATATTTTTGATTCGAAAATTCGGTTAAAATATCTAGAGAAATCAATGGCTAAGCACCAAAACAATAATATTTCTCTATTGAAATTAAGATTCTTTAAGAGGAATAATTGTTTTAATATGAAAGAGATATACTGAAAAAAAATTCTGATTAAATTACTGTAAAAAATACCGACACTTAGAGTACCGGTACAGCTATTTTCAGCTTTTTTTATCTTTTTTTAACAACTGTCAACTGCCTTCACACCTTTATTACAAACTGTCACATTTTCACAAACAAGTGCGAAATCATTTGCAAAATTTACCGTGTTTCTGGCTCTATGGAAGCATCAAAAAGCTTAGTAATTTTTACCGAAGCACTTTGGTAATGGCCTTTGGTAAAATTAACAATAAAATATAATGTTTCTGAGTATGGATCCATGCTGTTTGGTAGTAAATGTGATAAATTTATCATGATACATTAGAGAATGTCATAAAATGTATTCATTCTGTTGAATTTACTTTTCAGTTTCGTATTTTTATTAAATGCGTGGTAATAAGAAATATAATATGGAAAACTGGGATTTTCGTAAACCGTTACCATAACAACTGGAAAAAATAATAAAAAAAATAGTTTAAATACCATATGTCTAAGTTTAATTAACAAAATCGAGTTATACAGAAAGTTAATATTTTTGTGAACTTCTATTTCATAATTTTGGTGCAGAAAAACGTATTTGATTGCATCTTTTGACAACTCGCAAGAAAAACATGTTTTAAAATATAGGGCTCTATTTATTGGGAATTTGAAATATTTCTTATTTATTAAATATAAAACTGAAAAACATAGACCCTTGAGAGAAAAATTATTAATCGAGTCGATTGCCACTATTAAATAATCTATCTTAATGGAAAGCGTATTTCTTATTCCATATGCATGATTGCATCTGATGATTATTGAATGATTATTTGACTGACTTAGAAAGTATCTCTGTTTCTTCTCTATCTGAATATTAATTTGCGGCCTACGTGATTATTTCGTTTATTTTCGTTGGACAAGGTTTCCAAAAACATACATAGAACTCTGATCATCCAGACCGATGGACACTAAATCCGATCCGATTAAAAAAAAAAATTTAAAAAAACAACAACAGCAAAAAAAAAACACTTGATTGGACAATTTTATTGTATTACTTTCAAAGTAATGATTTTTCTTCTTTTTTTCTCTCCACATAACTTCCATACCCACTTTTTCATGGCTTTGTTTTGGTAATTGTGATAGTTCGCAAATACTCCAATTTTCCTCGCCTATGAATTCTATTTAAGTCCACTTTCATCAGCATTATAGATAAATTTTTTGTTTTAAAATTCGGGTTCAATCTACAATTTAAATTAATTATGAAATCAGTTTTTGAGCATTTTCACACAATGCCAACAATTTTTTTCTTCTTTTGTGCCCTTTCACTGGGTCACTGGGGAACCAAAACAGCGACCCCACCCCCTGTCTTTTAGAAAAATTGAAGAATATAACCAATTCTTGGTTTTTTTTCTCTTCTTTTGTTGTAGAATCTGAATCATCTTGATCAATCAGGAGAATTGGACAATTCGGTTAATTGAAATGCGAATACTACAGGTTCGACTATTTTACAAAACACCTCAGCATGATTTAATTTTAGAAAACTTTCATACTCACTTTTTAATGATTTTGTTCTGACATTTATAGTAATTTGTAAACGTTAATATTTTTAGCAGCTATGATTTCAAGTCAAGTTCAATTTTATAGGAATTTGACTTATTCAGAAGCCGTTAAAAAATATTAACATTCACATATTTTTATATGTACTCTTTGCACACTGCAAAAAATTTCGATGTATAGTTGCTATCTTTTTTAGTATTGAGATAAACGCTTTTATGCATTCTTAAAAACATTTTAAATAAATACATTTTTAAGTTCAGAACTATAGTTATCATGTATCGTGCAAAAAAAAAATATATAAAATTTATAAAATAACAATATTTTTAAAAATGAATGTGAATAAATTTCTAGAATTGCTGTTGCTTGTTTTATATGATATGTTCATTAAATTAATTTCAATACTCATAAAAATATGTGCTGTCAGAAAACAAACAAAAAAATGAATAAACAAATAAATATAACTGTTGGAGAAAAAAGGTTAATAAAAAGACTGCATGCACTGCAAAAACTTTTAGATTTCCTTAACTCCATTAATGGGAGCAACTATACATCAAAATTTTTTAAAGTGTATTAACTTTCGGATATAATCAAATTTTTAAATTCCAAAATCAATTTTTGTTCTTTTTCACATAATGCCACCTATTTTTCAATTTTCAAAGTCACCGCGGAACAAAAGAAGTGATTTTTCGTAGTCCTTTAGAAATTTTAAAGAATAGGAGCAATTTCTGGTCGATATTTTTTCGTGTGATATGCTCAGATAAACACATTTATTAATCCAGTGTATTAATTAATCCAGTAAGAACGTCGATCAATTCGGTTGATCGGTGTTCAGATGAAAAGCTCTCTGCTGCATAAGTGATGATAATAATAAATAAATATATCTTCTGTAAAAAAAAATTTCATGGTTAAACTTCTTAAACAGAATATTATTTAACAGTATTAATCTCAAATATATATGTATTAGTAATGTTTGAACTATTGTTTAATTTAAAGCATAGAAGCGTGAAAGATATGCGCGCGCCTTTTCCGATTGGAATTTCGATAACGTAACTTTACTTCATTGCGTTATAAATATCTGATCAATTAGAGTAGAACTCACTCATATAAAAGGACCGAAGAAAGTTTTAGTTCACAAAGTAGGACTAATCATTCAAAAAAGCAAAATGATCAAGATAGCTGTAAGTAGTTTTTTAATGACTTTGCAGACACATCTAAAAATGTTTCTTTTTTATGCACCTTTTTATTTCTTTTCTTGTACTGCTTTAAGCAATTGCTCTTAAAATGATTTACTTAATATAATACAATCATAGTGCTGTTATTAAATTCAAAGTTTAAATACTTTCTTGAAAGAATTTAATTTACAGAAAAAGTTTTCCTTTTTTTTAATAAGTAACAAAGTTATATTCAAACAAAATTTTGACAAATAAAATAAATTACTTCAAGTAAAACAAAGTTTTAATCGAATTTCACCTTTTAACTAAAAACATGATCAAATTTAATTCTTTCGAAAAAAAATTTAACTATTAAAATCTATTTCTTATATCAAAACTTAAAAAAAGTTTTCGTCCCTTCTCACTTTTTTTAGAAATAAATTTATTTTTGCGAAGTTTTCTGAGTGTTTTAATAATTTTATTTGTCGTATTTCAAAAAAGAAAGTGGGTCTTGAAATTTGATTAAATGTCTTAAATTCAATTTTATTTTAGGTTTTATGAATCAGTTACTTAAGTAATTTTCTATTTGTTAAAAATAATAATAAGAATTACCAGAAATTCATTGAAAAGGCACTTGAGCTAGATTTATTATTGAACAGTTTTTCAAAAAAATCTTAACTTCCATACGATTTTAAATATTTTAAAACTTTTGTTTTTCGGACGTATTATAAAATTTTATGACTCTAATATGAAGTGAAAGTTTGCCATTTTGTTAACGAATATTATAAAAGAAATTATTTATATGGATGAAAAAACTGATTGAATGTCATCAATGTTAAAAGAAAATCGTATCAAAGATTTTAATTAAATCACTTTCTTAGAAATAAAACTAGCAGTTATACTCCATAAAACGGGGAGTATATTTTTTTAAAAGCATTTATGAAAAATTTTAATAGTTATTTAATTATAATTCAATATTATAAACGAACATTTTTAGAAAAAAATATATTAAAACACTCCATAAAGTTTTGTTTCTGATACGTCAATGTTTTTATTAATAATTGAAAGTTTTATAGGGATAAAATTTATTACAGGCTAGTTATACATTAACTCTTAGCTTTATTAGACATATTTTTCAATCTTTTGAATTTCAATTAATTATATTTTAATGTTTCAGCTTTTCTTTTTGGCTTGCTTCGCTTTCGTTTATGGCAATGATGTTATACATCATTACGGCAAACATGGTGGACATGGCGTAAGTTCCCGGTATTTCATTAAATCTCAAGGGCACGGACTCGGATATGGAGGGTATGGTCTTGGCTACGGTGGATATGGACTCGGCTATGGTGGATCCGGACTTGGATATGGTGGATATGGGCTGGGATATGGAAGTTACGGAGCAGGATATGGAGGCTATGGTCGTTACGGATATGGATTTTAAAGGTAAGATCATACTTACAAAGTAAAGATTATATTGGATAGTTTAGGGATTACTGAATAATGGTAAATAATTGGTCACACTTTTGGAAACAGCTAACAAGTCTCTTTTGCCCAAAATATCATTTAGTATATAATAGCAAAAGTAATGAAATTAAATTAAATTAAAATCTTGATAAATACGTTCGTCAGTTGGACTAAAACAGAGTAAATAATTTGTTTCAATCAAATCTAAAAATCACTTTTAAAACTCACAGGGAGATATTTCGGGGTGATAAAAGTTCATTAAGAAATTGATCCTACTTTTTACATGCGAGGTCCAGCAGGGGACTGATCGTAAAGAAACAGTTCCCAGTAGAACACCGAAGTCAAGCTTCACTGACTGTGGTCAATAAGCGGGTGGGCGACCACTTTGATCAGTCTGCGTAGGGACCGAGGGTGAGCTGTATCGGTCCTCGTTAAACTTCTCTACCATAAAGTGCTCAAGATCGCTTGCAGGTCACCGGGCTACCAAAGCAGGGGAGCCATCCCCTCTCCAGAGGATCGAAATTGCCATGCCATGTCCTCGAATCATCTTCAGGGATGTTTCCCAGACCGTCGCCAATAGTCCACTGTGCAGCTCTAGTGCGACGTAAATAAAATACCAACCTATCTTTACATGCGAGCTCGAATGAAAATAAAATGATTTCCATTTTAGTCATCTTTATACATAGATGTAGTCTCCTAATTCATGTATTTATTTTAGTCTCTTTAATTTTCTTCACTGTCAGTTTGTTTATGCCGTAAACTGGTCAAATTTTTGTATGGGGATAAAATTTTAATTAATTTTGACGTTAGACGTAGAGAATAAGTTAAAATTTGAACATTGTTTGGTGGCTTGCTCTTTATTTTGGTAGACGATAAATTTTATTCGTCGAGGGATATATTGGTCAGAAAACAATAGTAATGGTCAGAAAACTATTGAAATATTTATTGTCGGCCAGCGCAGTGTTCCAATACAACTTTGGACACTCCAATTAAAGCGTAAATTCAGATTGATACATTCTTGGGATAAAATTTGAAGAAAACAAATTGCCGGATGCGATCAAAAGATACAATGAAAATTTTTATCGACATCCACACACAGAATTCCAGAAGAGATTTAAGCTCTCTAATAAACCAAGCATTAGTCGGAATTTTGATTAATAAAATTTCCTGCAGTGATGAAATGATGATTGCTTCATACATGCAATTATCGTTATCTAAATGCAAAAATTGGTATATTTTGTTTTGTTATAAATTTTTTGATTTATGGCATTATTGTCCCCTGTATTTGTTTACAGCTCTTTTTGCTTAAGTACGATGTATTATTATCATGGCATAAAGTACTATTATATTAATTAGAGTATAAAGTGAAGCCCTTAGTGAGTTTCCTTCATAGTTTATTAATTAATTATAACTTTCAGCATTTGTAAATAGATAATTTATTATTTATTTGTTTTTCAGGGAATTGATATCAGGAAGAAAGGAAATTTCTGGATTTCGTACTTTTTTGATTTGATGCTTTTTTATGTTGTTCTTGTGTTGTAATAAAGTATTTATTTTTTAAAAAAATAATTTAGTGGTTATTTTTCAATGTATTTTAAAATAAATTGTTAGGAAAAAAACTGAATGTTCCCATTTCCAAATAGAAACAAACTTTTAACCCTTTATTTACGAATTATTAAAAAATATCAAAAATGTATAACAGTTTGAAGAATAATTTCTTTTACAAAAATCAATATTTTTAAATTTTTAAATTAACTATTAACACATTTTTAAAAGAATTAATGAGCAAAATACACTGTTAAAATTTATTTTAAGTATTATTAAAAAATGTAAAGTATTTTTTTTTTATTATTTAACTATTGCATTAGAAGTGCAAATCTCGTTATCTAAAATTTCATTTATAGTATTTCGTAATCACCGCTCTCCATAGAAACTTATAAAAATTGTGCATTACACATTATTGGTAGCAAAATGAAAGAAACTAAGACGGCATCGTAATCGGTTTCAAAACTGCTGAGTTGAGCGGGAGGAAAAATATTAAAACCAGTTTGATTGCCTTATGAAGTTTAGAGATATTTAGTTAGAATCAAAATCAAAATAAATCAATTTAGATCAGAAAAATTCAGAAATACTCACATTTTTCACACACAGAAAAAATTTCTGGTTAAATTACCGTTCTGCTTTTCTGGTAAGAAAAACCATAATTCTGGTTTAATAAAATCGAAGTAGGCTGTATTTAAACCATTCAATTGGTAATTTTGCAGTTTATGTGGTAACGGTTGACCGGTAATTCAAAATTTCAAAATTATAATTCTCATTACGATACGGTTAGTAAAGCATACAAAGCTGAAAAGACTGAAACTGAATGCAATGTTCAAATGCGATGCTCTGAGGTATCAAGATAAAATTATCAAATTTTTCAACACTTTCCAAATTTATCACATATTATAAATTCATATTTTATTGTTAATCTTTGCCAAAATTCGAAATGCACGTCGTTAATAATTACCGAGCTTTTTAGTGTTACTGTAGAACTAGAAATACGGTAAATTTTACCATATTCTCTGGTAGTTTTGGTCACACTTTTTTCTCCGTCTGTTTATGAAAACAAACTGCAAGTTTAATGACTTTTAAAAACAATTGTATTTAAATAAACATAAAACTAAAGTAATAAAATTGAAGTATGTACATTAAATAGCATATTATTTTATGAAGAACTAATGAAAAGGGATAATTTCAATCCTAATTTAGTCTTTTTCTTATTTTTTAGTCAATAAATAATAATTTTCATGAAATACTCTCTCACTATTACTTTGGATAAAATTTTTAATAACAATGAAATCTGACTTTAAAAATATCACAACCTTAAAAAGATATTTTGAAATTATTATGAGCAAAAGTAAAATAATCCCCGCAAATTAAGAGCTTTATTATAAAAAATTCACTTGTTTCAAATCAATGATTTCCTTTCCAAAATATCGAGAGATTTAAAACTAATTAAAATCATGTCAACTCTGTTAAATACATGAAGGTATTTTGGAAAGCTAATCAAAAGTAATTTCGTAAAAAGTCAGTAATCCAATTTTTGAAAGAATTTGTTTTGTATTAAAAGCAAACAGTTCTACAAATAAATAGCTAGTATTAGAATCGTCCAACGCAATGAAAATTCAATACAATATTCAATTTGCATCATGACAGAAAATTAGCAACAATTTGAGTAATATTTTTGATTCGAAAATAACCCCGGCATTTCGGTTAAAATATCTAGAGAAATCTATGGCTAAGCACCAAAACAATAATATTTCTCTATTGAAATTAAGATTCTTTAAGAGGAATAATTGTTTTAATATGAAAAAGATATACTGAAAAAAAATTCTGATTAAATTACTGTAAAAAATACCGACACTTAGAGTACCGGTACAGCTATTTTCATCTTTTTTTCTCTTTTTTTAACAACTGTCAACTGCCTTCACACCTTTAGAACAAACTGTCACAATTTCATAAACAAGTGCGAAATAATTTGCAAAATTTACCGTGTTTCTGGCTCTATGGAAGCATCAAAAAGCTTAGTAATTTTTTCCGAAGCACTTTGGTAATGGCCTTTGGTAAAATTAACAATAAAATGTAATGTTTCTGAGTATGGATCCATGCTGTTTGGTAGTAAATGTGATAAATTTATCATAATACGTTAGAGAATGTCATAAAAAGTATTCATTCTGTTGAATTTACTTTTCAGTTTCGTATTTTTATTAAATGCGTGGTAATAAGAAATATAATATGGAAAACTGGGATTTTCGTAAACCGTTACCATAACAACTGGAAAAAAATACTAAAAAAATAGTTTAAATACCGTATGTCTAGGTTTAATTAACAAAATCGAGTTAGTGCTGTAATTTAGCCATAACTATTTTATCTACGTATATTAAATAGAAAATTATATTAAGAAACTAATTGTATATACAGAAAGTTAATATTTTTGTGAACTTCTATTTCATAGTTTTGGTGCAGAAAAACGTATTTGATTGCATCTTTAGACAACTCGCAAGAAAAACATGTTTTAAAATATAGGGCTCTATTTATTGGGAATTTGAAATATTTTTTATTTTTTAAATATAAAACTGAAAAACATAGACCCTTGAAAGAAAAATTATTAATCGAATCGATTGCCACTAATAAATAATCTATCTTAATGGAAAGCGTATTTCTAATTCCATATGCATGATTGCATCTGATGATTATTGAATGATTATTTGACTGACTTAGAAAGTATCTCTGTTTCTTCTCTATCTAAATATTAATTTGCGGCCTACGTGATTATTTCGTTTATTTTCTTTGGACAAGGTTTCCAAAAACATACATAGAACTCTGATCATCCAGACCGATGGACACTAAATCCGATCCGATTAAAAAAAAAATTTAAAACAGCAACAACAAAAAAAAAACACTTGATTGGACAATTTTATTGTATTACGTTCAAAGTAATGTTTTTTCTTCTTTTTTTCTCTCCACATAACTTCCATACCCACTTTTTCTTGGCTTTGTTTTGGTAATTGTGATAGTTCGCAAATACTCCAATTTTCCTCGCCTATGAATTCTATTTAAGTCCTCTTTCATCAGCATTATAGATAAATTCTTTGTTTTTAATTTCGGGTTCAATCTACAATTTAAATTAATTATGAAATCAGTTTTTGAGCATTTTCACACAATGCCAAAATTTTTTTTTTTTCTTTTGTGCCCTTTTACTGGGTCACTGGGGAACCAAAACAGCGACCCCCCCCCTCTGTCTTTTAGAAAAATTGAAGAATATAACCAATTCTTGGTTCTTTTTCTTCTCTTTTGTTGTAGAATCTGAATCATCTTGATCAATCCGGAGAATTGGACAATTCAATTAATCGAAGTTCGAATACTACAGGTTCGACTATTTTACAAAACACCTCAGCATGATTTAATTTTAGAAAACTTTCATACTCCCTTTTTAATGATTTTGTTCTGACATTTATAGTAATTTGTAAACGTTAATATTTTTAGCAGCTATGAATTCAAGTCAAGTTCAATTTTATGGGAATTTGACTTATTCAGATGCCGTTAAAAAATATTAACATTTACAAATTTTTATGTGTACTCTTTGCACACTGCAAAAAATTTCGATGTATAGTTGCTATCATTTTTAGTATTGAGATAAACGCTTTTATGCATTCTTAAAAACATTTTAAATAAATACATTTTTAAGTTCAGAACTATAGTTATCATGTATCGTGCAAAAAAAAATTATATAAAATTTATAAAATAACAATATTTTTAAAAATGAATGTGAATAAATTTCTAGAATTGCTGTTGCTTGTTTTATATGATATGTTCATTAAATTAATTTCAATACTCATAAAAATATGTGCTGTCAGAAAACAAACAAAAAAATGAATAAACAAATAAATATAACTGTTGGAGAAAAAAGGTTAATAAAAAGACTGCATGCACTGCAAAAACTTTTAGATTTCCTTAACTCCATTAATGGGAGCAACTATACATCAAAATTTTTTAAAGTGTATTAACTTTCGGATATAATCAAATTTTTAAATTCCAAAATCAATTTTTGTTCTTTTTCACATAATGCCACCTATTTTTCAATTTTCAAAGTCACCGCGGAACAAAAGAAGTGATTTTTCGTAGTCCTTTAGAAATTTTAAAGAATAGGAGCAATTTCTGGTCGATATTTTTTCGTGTGATATGCTCAGATAAACACATTTATTAATCCAGTGTATTAATTAATCCAGTAAGAACGTCGATCAATTCGGTTGATCGGTGTTCAGATGAAAAGCTCTCTGCTGCATAAGTGATGATAATAATAAATAAATATATCTTCTGTAAAAAAAAATTTCATGGTTAAACTTCTTAAACAGAATATTATTTAACAGTATTAATCTCAAATATATATGTATTAGTAATGTTTGAACTATTGTTTAATTTAAAGCATAGAAGCGTGAAAGATATGCGCGCGCCTTTTCCGATTGGAATTTCGATAACGTAACTTTACTTCATTGCGTTATAAATATCTGATCAATTAGAGTAGAACTCACTCATATAAAAGGACCGAAGAAAGTTTTAGTTCACAAAGTAGGACTAATCATTCAAAAAAGCAAAATGATCAAGATAGCTGTAAGTAGTTTTTTAATGACTTTGCAGACACATCTAAAAATGTTTCTTTTTTATGCACCTTTTTATTTCTTTTCTTGTACTGCTTTAAGCAATTGCTCTTAAAATGATTTACTTAATATAATACAATCATAGTGCTGTTATTAAATTCAAAGTTTAAATACTTTTTTGAAAGAATTTAATTTACAGAAAAAATTTCCTCCTTTTTTTTAATAAGTAACAAAGTTATATTCAAACAAAATTTTGACAAATAAAATAAATTACTTCAAGTAAAACAAAGTTTTAATCGAATTTCACCTTTTAACTAAAAACATGATCAAATTTAATTCTTTCGAAAAAAAATTTAACTATTAAAATCTATTTCTTATATCAAAACTTAAAAAAAGTTTTCGTCCCTTCTCACTTTTTTTAGAAATAAA